TAGAATAGAATAGAATAGAATAGAATAGAATAGAATAGAATAGAATAATTTAATACTATATTATTATTAATCATAAATAACCAGTGAACACTGTCCTGACACGTGGCTGGATGGGGCTTGGAGCAGCCTGGCCCAGTGGAAAGTGTCCCTGCCCATGGCAGGGGTTGGAACTGGGTGGGATTTAAGGTCCCTTCTCACCCAAACCAGTCTGGGTTTCTAAATCTGAGTATGAAAATAACCCATTTGTTGTTAAATTGTATTTTGAGGAGGTCCAGGAAGCTCTGGTTTGCCTGGGGCCAAATGGAAGAGCCTTGGTGAGCCTGGTGATCCCGGGGCAGCCCTTGGAACCGGGAAGTTTTTGGGAATAAACTGACAGTTTGGCAGCAGGGCAGAGTTCCCCTGTGGCTCTCCGTGGTCTGGGGCACATTTACCAACACTCCCCAAAGCTCCTCTGGGCCTGGCACAAGGCTCTGGATGCCGAGTGATTAAAGTGCCCAAATTAAGGGCTCTTAATTGCACTTGTCAAACTCGATTCCACTCAGGGCTGATTAACCTGGAGAAAACACAGGGAGCTGAGGGAGCTCGTTGGATTTACAGGAATTCTTCCCCTCCCCCTCAGGGATATTTGTTCTGTACCAAGTGGGTTTGTTTTATTGCCCCTCCACCCCCCAATAACTTGGTATTAATAATATAGAATTGCAATATATAATTCTATCATTCAGGTGATATGTACCATGTATGATTCAAGTATATATAATATATAAAATATACTTCAGATTTATCCAGTGCTCTGTTCTTTGCAGCTCTATCCTGGGGAAGCTTCAGGCTCTTCTGAAAGCTTGGGAGCAAAGCAATGTAATTGGGATCAATGGGAAGAGGGGAAATCCCATTAATGGCTCACGGGGCTGACTCCCACCATGGAATATTTTCGTCCCTAATGGCAAAAAGAAATTCCCCAGGCAAAAAAAAATGATGGCCTGGGTTGGGTTGTAGCTTCAATTCAGCACAGGAAGGTTGAGGTAACTTGAGTTATGTTGTGATTTCTGGCAGCACTGAGCCATGATCCCGTTGGGATCTCAAGAGCAGGGAGTTGTGTAAGTCCCAAGTAATGGGAAGGGCCCAATCCTTAGATAAAATTGTTTAAAATACTAAAATAAGTGTTAAAAATAGGGGATAAATTTCAGAGCAGCCCTGTTTACAAGGGCCTGGAGGAGCAGGACGCAGGGAGTGGCTTCCCAGTGCCAGAGGGCAGGGAGAGATGGGATATTGGGAAGGAATTCCTGGCTGGCAGGGTGGGGAGGGGCTGGAATGGAATTCCCAGAGAAGTTGTGGCTGCCCCTGGATCCCTGGAAGTGTCCAAGGCCAGGTTGGAGCAACCTGGGATAGTGGGAGATGTCCCTGCCCATGGCAGGGGCTTAAAACTTTGGAAATGTTGGGTTTAACACCCCAAAACCTGTGGGATGAAGGTGGAGTGGGGGCTCCTGGAGGCTGGATGGGTTGAGATTATTCCCATGCAGATTGTTTCCTCCATGGGAAAGCAAAGACCTCGGGTCCATCCACTGGGATCACGTGGGATAATCTCCCTGGGATTCAGGAACAGCCCCTTAAAGGTCAGCGAAGCCTCTGGGGCCGGGGTGGGAGCTGCACATTCAGTGGAATAAAATCTGCCAGGATTTCCCTGGAAAAAGAGCTCAGGGAAGGTCCCAACCTGCAGGGGCTGAGGGAGGGACGAGGACAAACCCAGGGGGTTTTGGGTGGATTTCAGCTCAGGGTTTGCCTTTGCTCACTTCACTGGGCCTGGCTTTATGTAAATTTATTGGCAATATATGAGGGAATGTGTTTCTTCCCCATTTTCCAGCTGTTCTGATCCTGCTCTTGGATCTCCTGGTCCTTTCTGCCCGGGAGGGACGTGGGGGACAAACCAGTGCTCAGGGAAAAAGCTGGATTTGTGTCCATCAGTCTTTAATCTCGGATTTGAAGGCTTTTCCTTTCCTGTTTGACACCCTATGACTTTCTTCCCATGGGAAAAAGGCGAGTCAGGGAGCTCTGGGCTGTCATTCTGTGTTCCAGGGGATTTTTGATTACACCAAGGTCCACTGATTAAAGCTTTGCTCATTAACTTCACTTTCCCTCTCAGGGCGTGGTTTCCTCATCAGTTTGTGGCCTTTTCCCAGGACTCACCTTTTGAGGTGTTCCCTGGGAGCTTTGGGGACAATTGTGGAGTCATGGAATGGTTTGGGTGGGAAGGGACCTTAAAGCCCATCCAGTGCCTGGGATTAAACCCCCTTTTTCCTTGGGCAAAAATGATTCCCAGTCCCATGGGCAGGGACACCTTCCACTAGCCCAGGTTGCTCCAACCTGGCCTTGGACACTTCCAGGGGATCCAGGGGCAGCCACAGCTTCTCTGGGAAATCCATTCCAGCCCCTCCCCACCCTCCCAGCCAGGAATTCCTTCCCAATATCCCACCTATCCCTGCCCTCTGGCACTGGGAAGCCATTCCCTGTGTCCTGTCCCTCCAGGCCTTGTCCCCAGTCCCTCTCCAGCTCTCCTGGAGCCCCTTTAGGCCCTGCAAGGGGCTCTCAGCTCTCCCTGGAGCCTTCTCTTCTCCAGGGGAACATTCCCAGCTCTTCCAGCCTGGCTCCAGAGCAGAGGGGCTCCAGCCCTGGGATGCAGTTCCCACATTCCCAGTATCCAGCAGCTGTTCAGCTACAGAAGCCTCTAAAATCCCAGCAATAAATTGCTGCAGAGGTGTTGGGAGAGGAGAACATCCAAGCCTGGCTTCCTTGTGCAGATTAGGACTCGTGTCCTTGTTTCCCTGAAAGAAAAATAGATGTCAAACGTGGAGCCATTTTTTTGTGAAGTCAAGTTTTATGGACGACTTCTCAGTGCCAAAAAAACCTCCATCATTTCCCTGTGGAAATGAAACTTTTTTGCCCTTTCTTGTGCTTCCTGACCCCTGGGTCTTGTATGGAGCTCCCAGGGGCTGGGGAATGTTTGCTGCATTAGAGGTGTGCTGAGAAGTTCCCCCCAGTTCACCCAGGGGAGATATTTTATCCTTCAGGGAGTACATTTTAAGTCTGATAGTGAGAAATCCTCTATTTCTACTCATCCCACCAGAGTGGTGGTATTTTGGGATTATTTCCAGCAGGGGTGATGCTGTCGTTGAGGAATGGCAGGAATTCCAGTGGTGCTGCCTTGTCTTCTCCTTGAGACCCTCAGCTGGATTGAGCTGGGTCATCATGGATTCACATGGAGAATCCAAATGCACATCCCTGGAGGATTTGAAGGCTTGGGAAAAATCAATGTTTTAGAGGAGAAATTCCCTCTGATGCTGAAATCTGGAGGCAGGATCCATAACCAGCCTGGTTCCAAGGCTGATCTGTATTCCAAAGGTGATCTGTATTCCAGGGCTGCCAGTGGTGCTTCTGGACACCCCTCATTTGAAAAGGAATTAGGAAACAGGGAAATGAATTCCCCATTTGTTGTTCAGCCCCAGCACCTCCAACACACTCACCTGACTTGTAATGCCAAGCAGGGGAAGATCTTCCCCTTCAAAGTGCTTTGAAACCACGTTTAACCTCGACTAAACTCATCCTCCTGCTTGGATGGACCCTCATGGATCGAGCTGGATCCTCCTTCCCGAGCTGGAAGTTCACATTCCAGGATTTCATGGGATCACAGAGACCAGCACCTGCTCTGGGACAGCGGGGGCACGAAACTCATCCTCTTCAGTCTACTCACAGTTCTGCACTTGCTCAGGCCTTTAGGGGCAGGTTTAGGCCCAGCTTTGTGGGGAGGGAGGTGACATTAACAGGTTGATTCACAAATTTTTAGCTGTTGAGTGATTTGTGCCTCATGAAACCCCTGTGCAAACAAACATCCCCCTTTTTGGGCATGAACACAACACCTCGACCATTATGTTTATATTTACACGTGATCCTGACACAATTAAAACTAGAACTTGACACCAGGAGCTGCCTGTGAGGCCGGGCCTTGGTGTAAAGCCCAGACTTTGCTTCCTGCACACCCTGAACCTCAATGGAGCTGCTTCAGCTCACCAGCAACAAATAAACCCATAAGACTGGTCTGCCTGGGAGGCAAAGGGTGCAAAGTGGGATAAGTCAGCAATAAATGAGTCCTCAGGAAGTATTTGTAGGAGCTGAGCAGGATGAAGAGCCGGCAGGAGGAGATTTTATAGGTGTGACAGAGAAGCCTAAAGGAAAATGCCTTCAAAATCTAGTTTTGCTTGGTTTTGCTCCGTTTCCCCCATAGGGGAAGAGGATTATTTGGCTCTGTATTGCAGAAACGTGATATCCACCAGGAAAACAAGGGAGCAGTGAGGTGGCACAGCCTGGCAGGGCTGGTTTGTGCTGCCCAGCTCACCTGGGAAGGCTTGGAAAAGCAGCAGTGGGAGAACAGAGGCAGCACTGAGGTTTTCCAGGTGATGCTGCGCTGGAATCTTCTGGTTGGTTGGGATGTGTCGTGATGGGGCAAAGGGGGCAGCTGGGATTTCAGAGAATGTGAATTTGGGAACAGTGTCAGAACAAGGAGTGAGTGGGGTTTGGGTCCAGCTGGTGGGATCACTGAGGTTGGAAGAGCCCTCGGAGACCATGGAGTCCAACCACGGAGTCCAGGCCACCACTGCTCCATGTCCCCAAGTGCCACATCCACAGGGCTCTGAAATCCCTCCAGGGATGGGGACAACCCTTTCCATGGAGAAGTTTTCCCCAACATCCAACCTGACCCTCCCCTGGCCCAGCTTGAGGCCGTTTCCCCTTGGCCTGTCCCTTGTTCCCTGGCAGCAGAGCCCGACCCCCCCGGCTCCCCCCTCCTGTCAGGGACTTGCAGAGCCACAAGGTCCCCCCTGAGCCTCCTTTGCTCCAGGATGAGCCCCCCCAGCTCCCTCAGCCCCTCCTGCTGCTCCAGCCCCTTCCCAGCTCCCTTCCCTTCCCTGCACACGCTCCAGCCCCTCCAGGTCTCTCCTGTCCGAGGGGCCCAGAACTGCCCCCGGGATTCCAGGATTTCTCCGGTCGATCAGGGTTTAAACGCTGGGATTTTCCCGCAGGCTCTCGCTCCCCCTCGTGCCTGCGCGGGGCTCCTGCAGCCTCTCAGCTCGAATTCATCCCATTTCCCTGTTCCGCCAACATTCCAGCTTTGAGGGCTGGCTCGTTCCCGTCCTTCTGTCAGGGAATCGTGCCCAACTTTTCAGCAGGAAGGGCAAAATCCGTGGTTTTTTGAGTATTCCAACAGCAATTGCTAATTCTTGCTCTCCAGTCAGGACTTCAGTCCTGCTCAGCCTTTGGTTACCGAAAATTTTATATTTACTGAGGTTCGAACTGTTCTTTGCTCTGAAACACATTTATTTTTTAATAATAAACATTATTTGAGTCAAGGATGTCAAAACCCACCATCCACAGGGGACTGAATATTGGGGAGCACCAGGAAGGTTTTGTTCCCCTGTGTTTTCACTGTGTCTTCACCTCTGACATGAAGGGATCACGTTAAGGAAGGAGAAAACAAGTCCTTGTTTCCTCATTCTTTCCTTATTTCCTCATTCTGAGCTAAAACTTCCTGAAGGACTGACCCCGTGGAAGGGACCCAGGCTGGAGCAAATCTGTTCCTGAAGAACTGACCCCTTGGAAAACAGGGACCCACGCTGGACCAGGCAATTCCTGAAGAGTTACCCTATGGAATAAAGGGACCCTCACTGGAGCAGGCAATTCCTGAAGGTGTGACCCCATGGAAAAAAGGGACCCTCGCTGGACCAGGCAATTCCTCAAGGAGTGACCCCATGGAATAAAGGGACCCTCGCTGGACCAGGCAATTCCTGAAGAGTTACCCCATGGAAAAAAGGGACCCTCACTGGACCAGGCAATTCCTGAAGGAGTGACCCCATGGAATAAAGGGACCCTTGCTGGACCAGGCAATTCCTGAAGAGTTACTCCATGGAAAAAAGGGACCCTTGCTAGACCAGGCAATTCCTGAAGGAGTGACCCCATGGAAAAAAAGGACCCTTGCTGGATCAGGCAATTCCTGAAGGACTGACCCCATGGAAAAAAGGGACCCTCACTGGACCAGGCAATTCCTCAAGGTGTGACCCTGTGGAAAAAAGGGACCCTCACTGGACCAGGCAATTCCTGAAAAGTTACCCTATGGAATAAAGAGACCCTCACTGGACCAGGCAATTCCTGAAGAGTTACCTCATAGAAAAAAGGGACCCTCGCTGGACCAGGCAATTCCTGAAGAGTTACTCCATGGAATAAAGGGACCCTCACTGGACCAGGCAATTCCTGAAGAGTTACCCCATGGAATAAAGGAACCCTCACTGGAGCAGTTCCTGAAGAACTGCAGCCCCTGGGAAGGACTCACGTCAGGGATTTTCCAGCCATAATGATTCCATGATCCCACATTCTGTGCCGGGACAGGGATGTGAGCGCTCTGGAAAACCCTTTGCTGGCTCCATGGGAATATGTGTGCTGTGCAAAACCCGTACAGCTCTTTTTCCCTGGCACAGATTAAGCTCAGGATTGCTTGGAGCCGGGAATGGGGTGGTCTGGAGCTGGGAATGGGATGGTCTGGAGCTGGGAATGGGATGGTCTGAAGGCAGCACTGACCAGAAGCTCCTTTCAGTCTGGAAGGGTGAACTTCCCAACAGCAGGAAAATATCCCCCCAAAACATAACCAGGTGCCAGCCTTTTCCATGGAAATCCCAGGGAACATCAGGGAATGCTGCCAGCCCCCACCTGGGCTTCACCCCGGTCGCTCCGTGGCCGGGAATGCTCATGGAATTCCAGAGTGGGCTCAGAAAGCTGCTCGTTAATTCCTGGGGGCGGAATTTTGAGAGTTTCCGTGGAATTGAAGCCTCAGCTCGAGTGTCCAGCGCTGCAAAGAGCAGGATTTGGTTCGTGTCCCGGTCCGGGATGTTGTGGAGCTGCCGGGTGTGGAATGCTGCCCTTGCAGGAGCAGGAGATCCCTTGGCGATCGCTCCGTCCCCAAAATCTTCCCTTCTGTGCTCTTCGCCTCCCGAGTGCGCTCAGCAGAGGGAGCTGCAGCCCCGCCAGCCGCTCCATCCCGGTTTTTCCCTGGGATCGGGCTGGATGCCGGGCGTTCTTACACATCCAGCTCGTTCCGCGCTCGGCCGCGGGATTGGGAAGTTCAGGATCCACCTGGAGCTGAGCGTCCTTCGGCTCTCGGGGTGTCCATGTGCGGTTCGGATTGAGGCAGCAGGACCTTGGGATGGTGTCAGATACAACACTCGTTGCAGGAGACCTCCGGGTCTAAATCCAGGGATATCTCTGGGATCCATCGGGATATCAGCGGTGCATCAGCAGGCGATGGGTGGACATCTCCTCCACACCACGGGGAGCCTGCTCGTGGCTCAGGTGTGGAGCAGAGCTGAGCTCGGTGGGAAATCCCAGCCGTGAAAATGGGCTGGATCTGAGCACTTCCCCGGAGCGGGATTTTGATGGGAATGAGGGACCGAGGCTTGGCACACGAGGCTGGATCGTCACGGAGACCTCAGCTGGGAGAAGATCTGCCCCTGAAGCCCCACTGAGCAGCTCGGGGAGGGGGGGCTTGGCTGGTGCATCCCTCTGCATCCCGCTGCATCCCTCAATGGGAGCCTGAGGGATTCGCCCCGGGAGATGTGGGACAGCGGCGCCGGCGCCTCCGCTTTCCACCTGCCCGAGTGGATGGTGAGTTATTGACCTTCCCGTTCCAACCAGCACCCAGCCACTGAGGGGGCTCCATTCCTGGAGGGAGCTTTAGGTCTTGTCGGGATAGGACGGAGTTTAGCTGGAATGAGGGTTGTTAAAGTCAGAGATTAATGAGCATCCTTGAAAATGGCCGAATGACGGGGGGCTGGTCCCCCCCAGGTCACCCCATCCTGCAGATCTGTCGTGTTAACAGTTAATTTTTGTGATAATTTTGGGGCTGGCGGGGAAGAGGAGTGGGAGAAACCTCCTTGTGTCCCGGGAGACTTGGAATTCCACCGGCAGCCGCTTCAGTTTTGATCATCAGCTCAGGTTCTGCCGCCGCCACGAAACCTCTAAAACTCGGAGCTGCCCCTCGGGGCATCGTGGTGGTTCAGGGGTTTAGAGTCCATGGCAGCAGGCACTAAAATACACTTTTCCCTGCTTCTCTGGTGGAAAGAATTCCCAAAGCAGCTGGAGATAGAATGACATTGCCCCAAAAACCTGGCACTGCTCAGGGACAGGGGATTTGTCCCCCGGGGTTTGTCGGTGTCGCAGGGTCCGGAAACTCTCCTGGTGCTCCAGAAGGACTGAAATTCCAGGTCAATATTCGTTGTCTCTTCCCAGATTCCCGCTCACATCTCCGGCTTCTGGTTTGGGAGTCGTCCCTCCTGGTGGTTCTTCTAAAAATATGTGGATTATTGTAATAAAAAGTTGGAAGTCTGGTGCTGCTACGAGGGGATTTGATATTTATCTACAAATAACGTCCATGCATTGGGTTCAAATGTCATTATTCCCCTTTAATATCCAACTTTTTGTATCCCGCTATCTCTTTCTTAAGATTTGTGGATTTTGTTGTTGTAAAATTCCAGTTTATTGTCCTGCTCCTCACTCATTTTTAGTAGAAAATTATTCTTTCAGCCTTCCCCCAAATTATATCAAATTATATCATACTTATATGATAATATATTAAATCAACAAATTATTAAATAATTATTATATAATATTATATAATAATTATTAAATTCTTATTAAATCTTACCATACTTATATGGTATAATTATATAATATATTTTATATATTAATATATATTATATATAAATTATACCATATTTATATGATATAATTTCCCATATTTATATGGGAAATTAACTTGGCACTTTAAGGGTTATCAGTGACAAACTTTTGCAATTCATTTACTGTTTCAAATGTGGATTTTTAACTGTAAAAGTGTAGAACTCTCCTTAAAAACAAGCAATAAACCTCCCCCTACAGATCCATCCCCCTCTCTCATTTTCTCCGTTATGGGTTTAGTGCCTCTGGGATCAGAACCAAATGACAAAAACTTTATTTAAATAGACCTTTTTTTTGTTTTTAACTTATGGCCTCAGTAATTGCCTTTTCCAGCGCAGTTTTATGATTTTATGGGCGGTTAAAGCTGCTGTGGCACCAAATCCATCTCCAGAAGGCCCAGGGTTATGTCCTCCAGCCATGGTTTTAATCAGGATTTTTAACTTGCCTGATTTGCATTTTATGTGCTTTCTGGGGTCAGTGTGGGAGTGAACGGCCACAGTTCAAGAAATAATTAGGCCCGAGCCTTAAAATGCTCATTATCTTTAAGGTCATTATTTCAACGAGCCTTTTAGGTCTTAATGTTCTTGCCAAAGTCCTTCCTTTGCCTCAGTTCACCTCTCGTAATTAAATATTGGAAAATATGTTGTTAGGGAATTATGGTAACGCCTTTGCATGGCTCCTTGGAAAAGCAGGTTAAAATGGGAGTTTTCCCACATTCTGGAGCTCTGATGGTTGGGAGATCTGGGATCTGCAGCGGGTTCAGCTCTGGGTTTGCAAACCTGCATCAGAGCTGGGATAAAGTCTTGGAATCACGGAGTCATTTGGGTTGGAAAAGCCCTCCGGGCCCATGGAGTCCAACCCTTCCCCAGCACTGACCCCTGTCCCCAAGGGCCACATCCACAGGGCTTGGAAATCCCTCTGGGAATGGGGGCTCCCCCCCTGCCCTGTGCCAGGGCTGGGCAGCCCTTTCCAGGCAGGAATTTTCCCTGATATCCAACCCAGTCAGGGAAGGGCTCCCGTGTGCACTCGTGGGCCAGGAATTCCTCACCCCTCATCCCACTGGAGGATGGGCTCCAAAGGAGGGGAAATTCCAAATTTTCAAAGCTTCTGGGAATCCTGCAGCATGTGGAGCAGGAACACCTTTTGGCTTTGTGTCTGGGGAAGGTTTCAGGGTGTGTCCTTGGGGGATGGTTTAATGAGCTCTAATTGCACAGTCTAATAATCATTAGAGTATGAACAGCAGAGGTGTTCACTTTGCTGGGGCCTTTTCCTTTTTCCCCAAAAAACCCCAGGTGTTTTAGGGAAGCTTGTGCTGCTGGGCAGTGTGATGGGAATGAGCTGTGGGATCCCGTGGGATGCTGGCTGAGGATGGGATCTGGGAGTGCTGCAGGTGCTGCCCTGGCTGGTGATGACTCAGCAGGTGTTTCCCATCTCCAGCTGCTGAGATCCCACATTTTTCCTGGTATAAAACACACCTGAACCATCATTGGAAGTTGAGGAAGTGTGGGAATAGTCCTTGTTTTGGGGCTGTGCCCCACAGAGCTGGGATGGACTGAGGGATCTGCTCCACAGCTGGAGGAGGAGGTGGTTTCTCTCTTCCTTGTCCTTCCTTTGTCCCCAGTGGAATTTCCTGCTTTAGGTGTTTGTTATTTTCTTTTTTTTTTTTTTATGATTTCTCCTCCCTGCTCCCACCAATTCCAGCAGCAGGGATGGTCCCGTGCTCTTGCCATGCCTTGGATTTAAGTGCTGCTGTTTCTTACCATGGAAGTGGCTCTGTCAGGGAATGCCAAGGTTTGCCATCCTTGGAAGTGTCCAAGTGTTGGACGGGGCTTGGGGCAACCTGGGACAGTGGAAGGTGTCCCTGCCCATGGCAGGGGTGGCACTGGATGATCTTTAAGACTCCTTCCAAACCATTCCATCATTCCATGACCCAGCACTGGTGTGATCAGTGATTTGACTTCCCAACACTCCTGGAAATCCCTCTGGCCCAGGTGGGTGACTCCTCATTCCTGTCCTTTCTGTCCCAAGCCCTGCAGGTGAAACCACCTCTAACCTGCACATTCCCAAGGGGAAGATGCCAAAGGGTTAAAGGTGTGTGTTAATCCTGGAGTTGGTCTCCGTGTGACCTTTTGCCTGGAGAACTTGGAATCTGAAACCCTTGGAGCTCCGGTGAAAGCTTTGGCTGGGCGAGCAGCGCCGTCGGGATTCCACTTTAATTTAAGGGAATAAGTGGCTTTGGACAGCCCTTCCCTTGGAGTGATGAGATCTGGGAAGTGAATTGGGAAAGCAGAAGCTGTTGGAGCTGAGGGATGCAGCTCCTTCCCAGCACGGAGCGGGTTTGGCACCGCCGAGCCCACGGAAGGGAGCCGGGCTCTGCCAACCCCTCTCCAGTTTCCCAGGGACAAAGGGAGCAGGAGATGAAGTGTCTGCTTGGCAGCAGCGCTGGAGCAAACCAGCTTTTCCTCCATGAATAGGGATGAGAGGGCAGCAGGAGGAGGGTTGGGCTGGGAGCTGCCATCCCTGGGCTCCGGTGGGACACCGGGAGAATCCTGTGGGTCCCCTCAGCTCTGGACATGCAGCTGGGAAATCATTTCTCCTCCAGCCTTTACCCTCCTTTATTTAAAAAAAGAGTGAATTGATTTTATTTCTGGGCATCATCAATAGATAAGATGCTTTTCCACTAGGAAAAGACTTCCCAGGAAGTTTGTGCCCAAGCAGTGGCAGTTCTTGGAGATCACCTTCTCCTCCTGCTGTTTCATCCATGAGTGGATGGATTTTAACTCACTTGCTCTTTCTTTCCCAAGTTTATTTCAGGTGGATTTGGAAGCTGGAGAGCTTGTGTCCCCTTAATCCCACAGAAAACTCGTTTTCTCCCTTGTTTCCTTAAAAAAACCCAAATATCCGTGGCTAAGAATCAATTTAAAACTCTCTGACTACAAAAACAATTTACTGGGATTGAACACGGTTCTCCCTAGTTTAATCTGGTTGGCCCAGACTGACAGAGGAATTTCAGAAGATTCCTGAGCTGTGGAGTGGAGGTGAAAGAACTTTTATTTTTAGAGAATATTTATTTATTTTTAGAGATAGAGGTTCTTAATTTTAGTGTCTTGATCTCAACTGAGTTTTTTTTGTTTGTTTTGGGGGGGTTTTTTTGTTGTTTTTGGGGTTTTTTTTGTCCAGGAAAAGCCTTTTGATTTCAGTGTTTTGATGGGTCAACCTACTGGGAAAGTAGTTGGGCTTTGGTGGTACCATCAGGATGGGCTTTGTACCCCCTTGAAGGGCTTTTAACCAATTTACTGAAGTGTCTCCCTTGGGATTTTGCAGGAAAAGGGTCACCAATAATGGTCAAAATAAAAAATTTGCCTTGACAACACGACACTGACCTTAGTGTCAGTTGAAGCAGGTGATGCTGATCCCAGCTCCAGATTCCCTGACACTCCCACATTGGAAATATTCTGTATTTCCATTTTTCAGTTATTCTATAACTAAGGAATTCTGGGGGGGGTTTCCCCCCACAAAGCAAATGTTGCTTTCATAGAGCCCTGGAATTCTTATTCCACAGCTTCTCTGGGCAGGATGTTGAGGTTCTTTATGGGAGTTGTCCTCGGTACCTTGTCAGGGACAAAAATCTCTGGATGACAAGTCCAGCCACTCAGTTAAAGGAATTGTCCTGCTAAAGGACATTGGTCTGCTCCATCCACAGCCCTTTTCCTGCTGCAGTAGGAACCTGCAAGGTGGGAAGAGACCAGATATAAGGAAGAAATAATGGGGAAAAAGGAGGGTGGGGAGGCCCTGGCCCAGGTTGCCCAGAGGAGCTGTGGCTGCCCCTGGATCCCTGGAAGTGTCCAAGGCCAGGTTGGAGCAACCT